CATAATGTAGGTGATATTTAGTTGTCAGGGAACAGGGAATGCATATTGTAGCATTCTGCTGTGTTTGGCTGTTTGTSAYRTGRBTGCAGTGGAGGATTGTGGGTAGGATTCATGTTTGTTGTTGTTAAATYATTTTAGGGAATTGATTAACATTGTTCTTTCAGCAGTTAGTCTGTTGTGTTACTCTAATTTATGTGTTCATTATTTGTTAAATTGTGTTAAAGCGTTCAGCAGAAGTAACCATAAGTGAGAGTGGTAGGCCTAGTCATTAATAAGACCTGTGAGTTTCACTTTGTTTTGTTCATGAAGAAAAATCCAATAAAAGGTCTTCAAAACCACCACCTGGTGGTGAAGTCTTGAACTACAACAAGAGCTACACCTCTCTCTGTAGCTGTGAGGTGTCATGCTACAGTGTTGTGCTTGATGCATGTGCACTGTTATAAAGAACAATTTGCACTAATGTTTGTTAAGTAAATTTATATGCTGCAAATTCATGTAATATTTACTCATCATTAATTAGTAAAAATTAAAAATTTGTGAATAAATCAGGTAAATTTTGCTTAATTTGCTCAATTAAATCTTGTAACATGTACTTGATCAAATTAAGTAAAATTTATCTGAGTCTGAAGCTATTTTTGCAAAGATGACATCCATACGTCTTTTTTTGAGTGGATAAGTTAAAGGCGTTTTAAATCCTTGGAAAGTCTAAATTTCTTCCCGCCCTCATCACAGCTGTGAGGTCTCTCTCCTGAGTGGACATGTTGATGACATTTTAAACCACTGGCCCATCTAAAAGTCTTCCCACACTCCTCACAGCAGGGTTTTTATTTTTAATTTTAAAAATTACTACTTAATTAGTTTAATTTTGCAGAGATGGCAGGTTCACTAAGAAGTCCAGCACTGGACCCAGCCTCTGCACTATAATCAGGTCCATCATGTTTGTTGTTGGTTGGATGCTGTGAATCATAAACAAATGTATCACCTTATCGGTTTTACGCTGTTTAAAATGTGACATTGATTTATTAATCATCACTTTCAACTAAAACAGTTAAATAATAATCTTTTTTCTTACTGTTTCTGTGAGAAAGATGCTCCTTGTGTTCCTGAAGTCAGCAGCATCCTTGTACTGATTGAACTCTTAAAGGATGCTGTGATGATTTTCAAGGAAACCAAAGAGAAAACCAGTTCAAAAGGTCACATTTTCAGAAAGAACTGACATAAAAGATGCAGCTTTCTGTAATCTGCTATGGGTGTTTATTTATTTATTTATTTTGGGGGGGGGGGCAGAATTATGTTTTAAACAGTTTAAGAGAGGAAAAAATAATTTAAAATGTTGTGCTTTTTAACAGTAACGCAGATTTTCATCTGAAACAGCTAATCTGATAATCTGATGACAAAGATTATATGAGAACTGTGCAGATAGGATGGACAGTYCTATAATCACAAGAGAATTATTTATTTTACAAGTCTAAACAAATATAGACTAAATGTTGTAGATGCTAACACTGTAAACTCTGAAAACAGCGCACACATGAGTTTGTATTTCTATCCTTATTGGGACTGTGTGTTGACTTCCATTTATTTCTGTAGCCAAACCCAGATCTAAACCACTGACCCAAAAATGATATTCCTCTGTATTAGGCTCAGGCCTTGGTCCCCATAAGGGCTGGTCCTGATAAGTTGGGGAATCATATCAGAAAATGTCCTAAAATGTATAAAAAAAATCATGCCGTCACAATTTGGCCCAATTTGGCCCTTGAAGTGGACCAAAGAGCCCATGTGCAAGGCACAGAATCTTGGAAGTGAAAAAAAAAGATTGTTGTGGTAAATGTGGTGGCACTATCATGGTTTGGACCAAGATGTTTTACCACATAAACAGAGTTGAGAGGAAATGGAAGACAAGCAGAAGAAAACCAGACTCCCAACAAGGCACCGGACCTGACGGGACATGAATCAGTAAMAACAAAAAGATGACACAGCTGAGGCCGGGGTGATGACAAGCAAAACCCAAAACTAGCTTCAACAAGGCGCAGGTGTGATGTTTAGTAAATAAAACCAGGTGTGAGGGAACACAAAACCAGCCGAAACAA